ATAAAAAATCTCAAATCATGCAGTTCTCAAATACTGTTTCAAATAATTTGATTTTCCATGGGACCTGTAATTAGAATGTAAACTCCTTATCATGGCAGCACCCTGTAAGATCTGGCTGCAGAGGACTACTCAGACTTCAGAGCCTGCTTCTCTTTCAATCTTAGTCTGACCCAGCTGAGGTTTTCTTTCTATTCCTCAAACATGCTAAGAATTCTTGCATTCAGAAATTGTGTTGCCCCTATTAATTTCCCATTCTCTCCTTCAGTCTCATGATGTTACTTTTCTTCCTAAAGCTTAACAATTTCTTCCACTCTATTATTGTTTTTCTATTATAAGCCCATTTGTTTCCTTCTGACTCTTAACTCAAGTGCTACTTATTTTCTTGCTTAATATCTTTTTCCCTAGAACTTAACTTTCATTAATTTCATAGAAATTAACTTTCATTAAATGAGGACCATATATGTGTATCTGTCATGTTGACTACTTTAACTTCTAGCTCTTATCAGAATAACAGCCACTCAGTAAATATTTGTAGAATGAAAGCTTAACTATTTGGAAAGATGAATAGGAGGTTATTTATTTTGAACACTTATTCTATGATTAGAACATATGACTTCTGTACCAGAACATTTTATTGATGAGTATGCTGTATTGCATGAATATTTGTGATAGATGTTTAAATGCAAGATTTTCTAAAATTTTTAACATTATCAACTGATCATGAGATTGGAAAAACTTTTATAACAAACTCTAGTTGATTATAGTTCAAAATTTGGACTATCTTTCAGTAAAATGATTTTCTGCAATAAAAATTCCCACCTTCTCCTTATGGACAACTAACAGGTAGAACCTTAGGCCAAGGTTAGTGTTTGGTGTGTAGATATGGGTGTTGCAGTCATATTTTCAAGAGATATATTCTGTAGAAATGCAATTTTGAAGAAGTACATTGTGAGAAAAGCCAAATTATATTTTGCTTTGTTCAAATGAATCATATAGCTAAAGGAAAGGCTCAATATGACCTTATAATTGAAGCTGGAACTTTTAACTCTAGTTAAAAGGAGGAAATTAATCTATAATAAGTTGTTGAAGCAGATTTTAGACTGTCTCATACTTTTGCTTATAGGTAGAAAAGATATGGTGAAATAGGTTGAATCAGCCCTCTCACTTAATGAGTACAAGTATAGAACAGGGCTCACTTTGGGTTCCACTAGAAACAAGACTCCTCAAGGCTTTAAGAAATTTGGTCTTTAAAATCTTAGCACTCTATTCCATTAGTCCTATGTGATTTTTTTCCAATAATTAATTGTTTACTTCTTTCTTCTTAAAAGGATGCATCTCATACAGGCTGTTTAAATTTTTGTATGCTTTCTTTTTCTTATTGATTTATGGTTTGTATTTAAAAAAAAACTAATATGGGTGGAGGTTGATGTTTATTTGCTTGTTTTTTTATGAGTTTTTTAATGTCTAAAATATCCCAATTTCTGTATATTATAATCACATATAGAATAAACTCAGTATGTGGTAAGGCCTTGATATTTCCCTACATGGGGATCAACTACTTCCACAACTCCTGGCAAAAGTTAATAGGAATGGTCAGGAATTGTACCTGTTCACTTTTCATCTCCCCTTTTCTTTCTCCCTCTTTACCAATTAAGTAACTCAACATGTAAATACCATGTGCATTTTTCACTGTGCTAGAGTTAACTGAAAACAAGAAAGTACAAACACTCAAGAGTCTTCCAATCAAGATTGCATCTGAACAACAAACTCTACTTACATGAACTGTAAATATAGTTCAAAGAGAGGCATATTTCTAATGATCTGTGATCTGAAATGGTTTCCAAACTATAGGATGCTAGTCATCTTTTGCTGAAATGTAAAACAAATATACTGAGTTAAGGACATACTTTGTTAAATAATAATAATAATAATAATAATAAATTGGAGTAAAATGAAAAATATCAGTGTGCATGGCATATAATATTTTATCATAAAATTTTAAGAATACAATTGTGTATACATACATATTGCATGCCAGTGTAAATAAAAACTTATTGAGACAAGGGTAAAAAAATAATTGAAAGATACAGAAGAGTTTATAGAGGGATAGATTGTTGTAACCTAAGTAGTCAAGGAAGGAAGGAGAGTTTCATGAGCCTGAAAGTAGTTGAATGAGATTAAGAAATGGGCTGACTTTTCAAAGGGCTACTAAAAAGAATACTGAAATTGTTAATAAAGTTATAGCTATAACAGAAATTAAACTCTATAGCAGCTTACTCTCGAATGATTCTGTGACCACCTATACTTGCAAAATCTTCTAGGAAACATATGCTCAATATACATGAAAATCTAGACCTGTCAACTTGGAATCTCCCACTACCTCTGATGCCATAAGGGAAACTTTTATCAGTCATTCCTTTGAGATGTACTGATACTGAAGAAGTTGATTCAAAATATCCTTTTGTCCAATTGCTTGTCCACTATTTATATATTTTAAGATACTGAATTAAAAAAAAATAAAGACCTAAAGTGAAATGACCAATTTAATAAATTGAATTTTTTCTTCCCTCTACCTACTTTTATTAGATACACTTGTGACTTTTATTAGATACACTTCTGTTGGAAGTGAAGTCTCTGAATTCTACTTGTCAAATATTTCCTGGGCAAAAATAAAAGGACTCAGAACAGCTGATTTGATACATATATATGTATATATGTATATGAGATATATATCATAAATATGATATAGATATATGAAAATATATAAGAAAATATATATATATAAGAAAAAAAATAAAAGCTGTCAAAGTAGCCTCTGGAGAAGGGGAGCTGTTGTTGCAGGAATCTTACAAGTTAATGAGAATTCACCCGGGACTCTAGGGTGACTGAGAAAGGGGAGAAAGAAGGAGATGGGGGGGGGGGAGGTGGAGGGATAAAAACTCTTCCTTTGCAGCTGGCCCTCTCCCTCATTTGTTGCTCCAATAAGCAGTAATTAGGTCCTGAGCTAATGGTGTCAGCTGATCTGCTGTTTTTAGGCTAGACCCAGAGGAATCTCCATGGAAACCCTGCTGGAGTCGTCCCCCCACCTGGATGCTGAGTGCTCCTTTCCGCCACCTGGCTGCCGCCGGGCCCGCTGCTACCTCCTCCTGCCTCTAACCTGCAGCCTGCAGCATGCGCACTGCCCCCGGGATCCCTAAATGGGACAATTCTGCCCGTGACGTCAGCGCCCAACCGTCTCCACAGAAACTTTTGTCCCATTGGCCAATCAGAGAGCTTGGAAGGGGTCGGGAGGGGGGTGGGTGGGAGGAGAGGGGAGTAGGAGGGGTGGGGGTGAGGGGAGAGGCGAGAGGTTTAGTGTGTGGAGCTGCTCGCGCTCCGCCCGGGCTGTCAGTCCCGGCTCCAGCCGCCGCGAGACCTTCCCGGAGACGCGCGCACACACACAGCGCACCCCCAGCACACCGCACACCCTCGCTCCCTTGCTCACACACACGCACACACTCAATCTGGTGGAGCAGGAGCCACTGACCATTTTGTAAGTGCTGGGACCAGCTGCGGCGCAGTGGGTACAAACACTCCGCCTTCCCATTCGGGGCTTTCGTCTTGGAGACGACGACGAGGGGCGAAGGTGGGCTAGGACGTGGACCAGGCGCTGGGCACTGGTCGGGCCGCCTTCTTGGCAGAACCGCTCGCCGGGACGGGCGCGGGCCTCCGCAGAGAGTAGAATAAAGAGGAGCGGCCGCAATCTCAGCGCGAGGAGGATGGGAACTCCCCTGTTTCCAGATCTGTTAACAAACGGATGGAAATGCTGAATGGAAGAACCGCTGATTTCATTTGTTTGAGAAAATCGTCCAGAGGAACTCATATTTGGCTACTTTGAGCAGTGGAGGGGGTGCCCATGACGTTGCAGGGGGAAAATAAACATCTGAAACCTCCTGTGTGAACTGCAAAACTGTAACCAAGAAAGGAGAAAATATCTGTATATTTTGATTTCATGCAAAAGGTTTTAAGCATCTGTATCATAAACTTATTTCTATGTCTTGTACCCAGTTCAGCAGAAACCAGAGGAGTCCTGTCGGGGGACCCCATCATTATCCGGGACACTCACCGCCAGCGGCCTGCCTTCGTTTACCCACATCCCCCTGGAAAGGATATCTGTTTGGGATACCACAGCCTATCCTATAGAATTATGGCCAAATCTCCACGAATGCTTTGCTAATTCTGGGATCTAACTCTTAGAACCTACCTGCGGGGCTGGAATTTATCCTAAATTCATCTGAAGAAATGATGTTTTAAGCCATTTAAAAATACCTCTAAAAAAATTCCTGTGTAGCAGGATTTGATAGGCTTAACAACATGACAGGTAAGAACTTTTTCTCTTTCTAGTCCCTTAACGCCCCGCACAGGGACGGCCTAAGCGCAGCAGGACCCTGGAGGAAGGAGAGCCTAGGGATCCGGGTGCCTTTTGGGGCTCGCAGGCCCTCAGCCCAGAGACTGCTTTAGAGAGAGGCGCAGTCCTCGCTCCTGAACCACTGGCCATCGACTGGAGAAGCTTCTGGGGCGCGCGCAGGGAGGCGGCGCTGCACTCCACCTGCCCAGCCCAGGACACAGCCCAGTGGCGAGGTGTCCAGGGACCACCGAAGTCAATATTGGGATTTTTTTTTTAATAAATCAAGGAATGGGGTTTTAATTATTCAAAACCCAGATTCTCTGGGCTAGTTACTGTTGGGATGGTCCTATCACACAGCATTAAAGAGACCGGTCACTAAGAGGACGAAAAAAACCTGAGAGACATTCTTTGCAATTACGAATGATCCAAAGACTTGGTAGCACAGGGCATTGATTGCTGGTGCCCAACCTCCCTTCTCCCCATTCTTCCCCCCACCCGAAGCAGCTCCGGCGGCGGCCGGGACCTCGCGTCCCTGCATCGTGGCCGGGGCTGCATTTTTCATGAGCCCGGGGTGAACAGGTGCGAAGTGCGCTAGGAGCATCCGGCCGACGGCCCAGCGCCGGGAACATGGAGAGCGAACGCGACATGTACCGCCAGTTCCAGGACTGGTGCCTCAGGACTTACGGGGACTCAGGCAAGACCAAGACGGTGACCCGTAAAAAATACGAGCGGATTGTTCAGCTCCTCAACGGCTCCGAGTCGAGCTCCACGGATAACGCCAAATTTAAATTCTGGGTCAAATCGAAGGGCTTCCAGCTGGGCCAGCCGGACGAGGTCCGCGGGGGTGGCGGAGGCGCCAAGCAAGTGCTTTACGTGCCCGTCAAAACCACGGTGAGTGACTCGCCTTCCTCTGTTATTTGTCTGCCTGAGCAGCCCGGCGGGGAGGGGAACTGGAGGGGGGAGCAAGGGGGAGCAGTGAGCCACCGTTGGCTCGTGTGCCCCCCCACCCTTCTCAACCCCCTCCCCAAGTCGTCCCTACTAGCATTAGCTAGGCGTGTTTCCCCCCACGCCGTAGGGTCTTTGTGATTCTTTATTTTAAAGCCGCCACGCACCTCCAGAGCCCGCTGCCCTCCTCGACTCCAGGCTTTCCGACCCGCTGTTGGAGCCTCCATCTCCATCCCCGGGTCGGCGTCCTCGGGCTGAGCCATTGTCCCACGTCCTTCGCCGGGCGCCTGGCGCGCGTCCCGCCGCCGCTAACGCGCATAAAAGGCCACACTGAAACCTCAGCCGCACGCTCTGATAATAGACGATTCTGATCGATAGTCTACAGTGTCTCCTTATTGGCACAAAGCCCGAATGTGGCGCCTAGTCATGGATGTGGGATTTCCCCCCGACACAATCAGGTTTTATTGTTAGACCGCCGCTTAGGCGACACGGGGCTGTCCGATCGCCTAAATCACTCCCAGAAACCTTGTTGCCATAAGTATTTAGATTGTAGATAAGGTTCTGGAGCTTCCTCTTCCCCACCCCCCATTCTTTTCCTCACTTCACCCTTCCTTTCACAAATAAAGCTGCAGCTACATGATGAACAACAAAGAGAGATGTGCTTGGGCGTAATCAGATGGTGTGTTTATTTGTTCCTTGTTCAAGGGTGGCTCTAGTCTCATGGCCACAAAGCTCTAAACCCAAGCACTGCAAGGTCTTGGCATTAAGAGTCGAGTATATCTCAGACTCCTAAGGCAGAAGCCCTGCGAGGCTGAGGAGAGGCAGGAGCGTCAATTCCCGTTTTAAGAAGATGGGAACGGTGGGTTACAAGTAGGATTGCAGATCAGATCCATAAGACCTCTTTCTTCATCACGCCGCGGTGGGTACTCCCTGGAGTAGGGGCGGGGGAGGGTAGCTGGCGTCCTTTGCATTTTTGCCTTCTTGGGGTTTCTTGGGCATTTGCTCCTTTCCTTCAGCCTTTCCTGGCAACTCTTCCCTGTGCAGAATTCCTGGAGGATGCTAGAAAGGAGATGTCTTGAACGCTATTCTTCTATCTCAAGTGGAGGTATATTCAATTGAAAATATGTGCATGAAAGGTTTTTCAAAGGATTATATGGGGGTAGTCTTTTAGCTTCGGAAAGACAAGTTTATGCTTTGCGGAGGTTTGTTGTTTGCAGGAAATATATTTCTTTTGGAATTTATCCAGAGAACGGGAAATGGAAATGTAGGAGAAATGAAAACACATAAAAGTGCTGTTATTATATACACATTATATATATATATGTATACTGTTGTTGAAAGCTTTCTGGGAGATAGATGTGTAATTAAAGACTTTTTTTTAACATGTGGCATTGATAAAGACAATGGTGAGATTACTGTAGTGTTGATTTATTAACTAATGAGGGTCAGATGAGTATAGGTTAAAACTGAGACTTCTTTCCGTCTGTATAAACCAGAAGTCTGCTTTAGAGAATAAAGTGTTTGACTAAGCTGTATTGGGAATAACATTTAGAACCATTTAGGAAAGAAAAAAAAATAATGTTGTTAGACAAAGTAAATTAGACTTCAAAAAATAATTATTTTCTTTGGAGCAATATTGGGCAAATTGAATGAATGTTAATAATCATTAAGATAGATTTACCTATACATTATTTAACCTTATGTGTGTTTCCTTAAAATTGTTTTCTCGGAAGTTTGTTTTCCATTTCTTATTTGTTAAAGTTAAGACTTTGTTTAACTGTCAGATAGCTTTACTTGTATATTGGTCAGTGGGTTTATACTTTCATGGATTTAGTTATATTCATTATTTATAAATGGATATGCCCTTTTAGAACATCAGTTAGACATTCTACATAACAAATTTTTAAGTATAATGTTGACCCAGAGATAAACATGGATGCCAATCATTTAAATCAGTATTTGCTTCCTGTGATACCCATATTTTCATTACAAAAATTAATGCAGAGTTGCTAAAAATTACAGCTAAGACATGTAGTGTAGAATAACAACTCTGGTATTAATAAGTAACACGTGTTTCTCTTTTCTGTAATGAGCCCATATATTTATGAGGAAAATGTAACCCATCAGGTTATATTAATGTTTTTGCATAGTTTTTAAAAGCTCTGCTCTTCATCCAAACCTGTTTTGAAATGTTCAAGAGGTTTTTAATCCATGAGCTGTTTTATTGCCCTTTATGAAATTCTTATACTGCTACTGACATCGAAGTATAGGCTCCTCCTTCACTGAGAGATAGCCAATCATCATTTCAATGAGTTTAAAAAAATAAATGATTCCCTTTTATCATTGTCTCCCCATATCTCAAATTATTCTGTCCTTAAAAAAGGAATTTTTCTCTATGTAAGCCAAAGAACAGTCACCACAAAGACCAAAATAAGTATTTTCTTTATGTTCAAAGGCATATCCTGGTTGAAATTAAGTACCATATTTGATGGCATTTTCAAGTAGTTAAAGAATCATTCTAGCTATTTGAGGATTGATGGTTTTCGGCTGGGTTTGCTGTCAGCCTGATGTTGCAGTAACCCTCTGCTGCTGATAATTAGACATCATTACTACTGCAAAAAAAGGAGAGAGAGAAGGGGAGAGGACAGGCTGGGGCTAATTAACTACTTTTGTTTAATGAAAGAAAGGGAGACTGATAGCAACTGGGAGGTCGTATTAGAACAGAGTAGACACATGACACAGACTTAATTGAAACAAACCAGCTTTCTTACTGAAAGGAGCTTGGCTCATTCTATTATTTTTCCAAAAGAGTATATGTAGCTTTCTCCCCTAAAGCCTAAATTTAACTAATGATAAAACCAAGTGACTACTGACTTAAATAACAATGTAAAATATTAAAAGAGATAAAGATGTCCTTTAATAGTTGTCCTAACCTTGCCTAGGGACCTAGTTGTCACTATTTAGATTACACTGTGCCTGAGGAGATACTGTTTGGTCACCAAGCAACAATATCATGTAACTCTGCCATTTTAGGTCTAGCGCAGGACCTCTGTACGTGAACCTCGTGCATGTGCACGGACTTACAAATATATATGTTACATATAATATACACACACACATATATGCAATATCTAGAGCATCACATCTTAACTATTTTTCCATATTACCACAATTATTTTTGAGTTCTTTCACTAAAGATGTCAAAAATTAGAAAAATAAAATGGTGAATAACTTAATTCTGAAAAAGATTATATCTGACATTAGTTATAAAAAGTTTAATCATTGATCATTTTAAATTAACATTGTTCTTTAAATCTTTGATAGTTCCCATTTAGTTTTGGAAGATTTTGATTCTGATTTACATTTTATTTTCTGGTAATAATTATTTGAAACATTACACTCATAATTTAGCATATTATAACACTGGAATTAAGAAAAATAACTTAGAAAGCAACCAAAAAAGTATTAGTTTTTTAAAATTATTTATATGATTAATGCATTAACATGTAGTTTTATGCATTACATAAAAAACATTAGAAAATTTGGTTAACTCAAATTTTTGTCTTTCAGTCTTAAACATTAATATCAAAACTGTATAAACAAGTAATGTGGGTAATGTGTTTCTTGATATGAAAATGTGTTCATATTTTGTATGAACAGATTTTAGATTTAATTCTTGCCTTTGTGTACCTTTTCCCCTTACTAGTGAACATAAAGTGAATTTGCATACAGAAAGGAAAATGTATCAATTTTAGTTATGCCATTTAAAATGATGATTTATTCAGTTCTGCAATCTGTACTCTCAGATTTCATATTGTTCTTGCTGTGTATACTACTAATTGATTACTGTACAGTGATTGGGATGAATATTCATGGCTAGTTTATAAATAGTTACCATCTTTGTTGTTGTTGTTGTTTTCTCTGTATGGTTTTATTTTGATGCTACATCAGAGTGAAAGAATTGGTACCTTACAAGTCCACCAACCTCATGTCTGAGGCACACATCACATATATTAGGCCTTGACTTGGCAGAAATTTCAGAAAACAAAGCTGAGAAGCATTGTCCATTTTATATTGTGATACTTCATATCTATGACACAGATCAATCATCATAGCAGTTACTGCGCTATAACTAAACTTTTGCTTATCTGGGATACTTTCACATTGGGCCTCACTGATAGGACCTTGTTAGAGAGTTGACATGTTTTTCCCTTCAAATATTCAGGACATTCTATAGTATAGGTCTCTGGGGTTTTATATCTCAAGTGTGAATCTCAGCAATGTGACTTATTAGTTGACTTTAGCAGTACCTTGTAATATATTCTCAAGCAGAAATCACCTAAGGCATGTCCCTAGGACCCTGTGTAAATAGGAATAGTAAGGGGAAGGGACTTAGGGAGATAATTCCTATGAATAAAAGAAGAAATGAGACCGTATTAATATATAGAGTTCATTCTGCACTTATCTATTGAGTGACCATTTCTTGACTTTTTCTATTTGTTCATCCTTACTTAGTGACTACAGTGGTCGAGGGCAAAGTTTCAGCCCTCATATACATTCCATCTGTTAGATGCCTGAATCACTAAAGATTGTGCTTCTCAAGATTTTGCAGTCTAAACTTGCTGTTTTAAATAGAGGTTCCAAGAGTTTTGATTCCCATGCCAAGATCATAAAGACCTTTCCCTAAAAGCTATTGTATTTGTTCAGAATTTTTAAATCTAACTAAGGGAAGGTTAAAGTGAATATAATACATGTATTTCCATAATTCTTGGGTAGTAGCAAATAGAATAAACTTCATAGACAGCATTATAGCTAGCAGTTTACATGAAGTAGTGGGCAGAGTATAGATTTAGAGCCTTGGATTTGACATTTACTGGAGCTGTGAGTTAAGAGGAATTTCTTAACTAATCAGTTTCCTTGTTAAAAGAGTCAATAATAATACTTGC